ATGCTGAAATGGCTCCCTTCCAAGACAAGTGACGATGATATAATGGCGATTCTGAAATCTATAAGCAGTCAGGACTCAACACCAACGTTTAAGAGAATAGACCAATCAAATGTGGTCCAATTCACCATCTCTCTGGAGAAAGAAGATGTGGAGAGTGTCCCACACTATATTATACTTACAAATGAAGCCAACAAGGAGAGCAGAGTCCTTATAATCCTCAATGGGAGGAGGGTGCAATGTTGCCACTGCAACACAGACAGGCACCTGCCTAAAATGTGTGAGCATTTGAGGACTCGCGCTCTTGACGGCGTCCAGCTAGTAGACGGACAGTACAGGGCAATTGAGCCTTGGGATGCAAATGATAAAGAAGAAGTTAGGGAGCATCTAAGTAACAATAGAAATTTCTTAAAGCATTGGGACAGTTATGATGTTGACGGAGAAAGACAAAATGAAATGCTTAGAGAAGCAAGGCATAGAGAGGTAGAAGATGCCTTTGGAGTAGATGGCCAAACTGAAGCACATCATACTACTGCAGCATCACAGCAAGTTAACGAAAGCGTAACAGAAACCACAATAGAGGCCGAAGCCATGGAGACAATAGCGATCAGAAATTCCATAGTAACAGGGTCTCAAAAAGATGGAAATCTAGAAAATTTGGAGGCTGTCGACGAAACAATAAATGATATTCTTCAAGATAACACTAGTTCAGAAAACATAACGAAACCGCTAAAGGAAATTAAAAGCTCACAAAGTATATCAGCAACAAAGGTATCAGGTCAACTGTCATATAGTCAAGCAATCAGTTCAAGTAAAAATCAATTACCTACAGTAAAGCCACCTCAAAGGGTCGTGACCAGGGCCCAACGGGATAGCAAACCAGCGGCTGGAAAGTTTGGCGTTAAAAGACCACCACCATCCAGCCCTCCAGAAACAGATGTTCGAAAGAAAACCCCAAATAATTCATGCTAACTCTGGCAACATTGAACATCAGGGGGGGCTAGGGACAAACACAGTATATAAACAACATAATAAATAAACACAATATTGAAATCCTACTTTTCCAGGAAACTAACATTTGAACTACAGAAGAAGCAAATAAACTAGATGCATAATTAATATCGACAGTCTCAAGCTAAACATCACTCGATCAGCCCTCAAGTAAATTAACATTAGAACAGTCTTCTGTTTCCCAGGTTTTTAAAAGTGCACAACCTGAATGGTAGAAAGAAATACACACCTCACCCCCCCCCCCCCACACACACACACACTTCCCCCCACTCAACCGGACTGGCGGATTTTTCAAGGTAGCGTGCCCTCTTTGCCAAGGGTCAATTTTATGTCATGGCAAGTTTTGGAATGATAGATCAGTATGTGTACTGCAGAGACACTTCTCCCACGGTCGTTTCTATTTCTGTCCATGGATGGCTACAATGTGAACTTTTGACTCCTCAGCTAAGGAAAAAGCACAGTAAATTAAGCAGTCGAGAGAAACCTAGTTTGCACACCTTATTTTAGTCTAGTTCTTATGCCATTTTATTTTCTCCATTTGATTAGTATATATGCATTTGATGTTCATGTCTTTGATGCTGTGTAAAATCTATCAAATAAATAATTTTTACTGATTTAAATGTTTAAAACAATTGAATTAATAAAAAAAATAAAAAAATAAAAAGGAAAAAAAAAAACTAATTGAGGACTGTATAGATATAGATGTTTGAAAGGGAAGAGTGTTTGCTTTTACGTGTCTCATTGTAATAACATTGCTTTTCCGATTGCTTAAAATTTGTATCATTTTAATTCTCTGTAATCCCAATTTCATTTTAGCTCTACTTTAAAAAAAAAACAAATTCCCCCTCTCCCCCCCCCCCCTCGTCCCCTCAGCCCACCACGCCGAGAAAAAAAATCCCTTGAATCATCATTTAATTACACATTTGCATATTCAGTTTCAGGTTGGTTTTTAATTTTAATTTTTTCTTTATATTTAGACGTTTTGTATTAGATCTATGTATAAGTAAACCATCTTAAATGAATGAAAGCAGGCTACAAGTAAGAAAGAAATATTACTATTGTAAATCTGTATCAGTCCTCACAAGCCGATGATGAAAACTGTAATACTAAAGCGAACACACAACTGACGCTATAAATTACGTGTCTGAGGCAAAAAAAAAAAAAAAAAAAAAAAAAAAAAAAAAAAAAAAAAAAAAAAAAAAAAAAATTGAAAACTCAATGCTACCACTACAACACCCTTTCAACTAGTCAACTTAAGTTGTTTCCCTACATAGAAAATGCTTCACTGTCCCATTGACCCTCTCTGAAAAATTTCCTTTCCTCTCCCCACCCAGACTTCTGACACTTTCATTTGACCTTCACCCCTTTTACTGTCATCCTTTGCAATTTTTTTTTTATAATCAAATACATGACATCATGTAAACATTCATTATGTACATTTGCAAAACCTTTCGTTTTCATTTGGTGTTCAAAATTATGTTAAAAAATTTGATGTTGATGTACTTGTTTTAATTGCAAATAAAAGTATTAAAAAAAAAAAAAAAAAAAATATATATATATATATATATATATATATATATATTTAATGGAAAGGCTTCTCGGCCTTTTGGCTAAGATCAAAGTGTAGTATCTGTTATGGATCTACATGGTTCTTAGCCATTTGGTTGGTCAGCCCTTTATAGGGCTGGCGGCCGGGGCCGAGAGCGGTCAAATCTACTCCTCTAACTCACGCAAATCTCGCCAACGACCGCTGTGGGGTTGCTCCCACATATCCCTCGAACGCACATGCCCTCGAGATGAGTCACCCAGTACTTGTATTGGGTGGCTTCAAATGTACGAGTGGCTAACTTTCAATTTTCTATTTTTCAGCCTGACGACACCCATCTAGGAGAAATCTTAGGTGGGAGGTCTGTCACAATCGCTAACAAATCGAACTCATCTACTACGTCAAACACAACTACCTCGCTCCCAACAAACTCACTACCACTCTGACGACACCCACCTAGGAGGAATCTTAGGTGCGAGGTCCGTCACGATCGCCAGCCAATCAACCTATCAACCACGCAAACACATCGCTACTAACTACTTTGCCACTAATTTGGCGACACCCACATAGGAGACATCTTAGGTGGGAGGGTCCGTCAAATACCAGCAAACGAACTAACCATATATCCAATACCAACTCAACTCACCCCAAACCAGGGGTCGGCAACCTTTTAAAGCGGAAGAGCCAAAAGTTACAATTTTACAAATTTCCCTGGTTTTAAAGAGCCACTAACATTTTTTTTTATTTCAAATATTTTATTTTTTATTAAGATTATTAGTATTTGGGCAAGGAGCTGGAGAGCCGCATCTTGATATCAAAAGAGCCGCATGCGGCTCACGAGCCGCAGGTTGCCGACCCCTGCCCCAAACAAACAATCATCAACACCTTCACTCTACCCACTTCAACTACTAGACCAAGCTCAAAGCCTCGACTTAGCAATACCACGAAAACTAATCATTCCTCTACGTCATCTCGCCCACTTCAAGCTCCTCTCCATTAACGACATCCAGTACCAAGTCATCTCGTCATCCCTCAACGATCAAATACTCAAAACATCTCACGTGTAATCATCCATAAACTCTCGTCAACCTTTGCCAAGTTCTACAACATTCGATCAACGACAAGACACAAGCTCGCCCTTTCAACAACAGATTATCTCCCATTGACATTCTCAAACTACAACTACCAACTAAGAATCTACCACTACCCAACCAAGACTGTATTAATCACAAGAAGCACGGCCAAAAACAGAGAAGCGATCATGTTGTATTGTCCTGTACTTTATGTCATAGCAAACCGGAAACAAAATCAAGAAATCAAAAGAAACAAATGGAACCAAGAAATCGGAACAAAGAAATCAAAGAAACATGGAACAAAGAAATCAGAAGGGATATTAAGACATTGTAAATCTTTTTTAATGCAATACCATGTATTACATTGTAATTGTTTTAACATGCAACCTATCCACATGTGGAAGGAACAATATTAAACGCCAGACGAAAAAGAAAAAAAAAAAAAAAAAATTATTTAATGGAAAGGCTTCTCGGCCTTTTGGCTAAGATCAAAGTGTAGTATCTGTTATGGATCTACATGGTTCTTAGCCATTTGGTTGGTCAGCCCTTTTTAGGGCTGGCTGCCGGGGCCGAGAGCGGTCAAATCTACTACTCTAACTTACGCAAATCTCGCCAACGACCGCTTCAACTACTTCACCAAGCTCAAAATCCTCGACTCAGCAACATCAGCAAAACTTCACTCTTCAACGTCACCTCGCCCAACTCAATTACTTAACTACGTCACAACTTTACTCCTCTTCAAAACCACAATGAACAATATTTCAAAGCAACTCACTTCGAAAGATCTCTCAACACAAGAACCCCCTCAACTCAACTATTCTCTCCAAGCTTCACGTCATCGAACAACTCTACTACCAACGAAACTTGCCCTTCCACCAAGCGCATCATACCTCATCTTAACGCAAGGACACTACCTCAACCACCCTCTCCAAGTTCTACACCATTCGACCAACTCCACCATCAACGACAAGACACCAAACTCACTCTCACCAAGTACAACTACCAAATAAGAATCAACCACTATCAAACCAAGAGTGTATTAATCACAAGAAGCACGGCCAAAAACGGAGAAGCGATCATGTTTTTTCATGTACTTTATGTCATTTTAAAAAGGAACTAAGAAACCGGAAGTAAAAACAAGCGAATCAATGAAAACAGGAAAACATGGAAAATACGAAACCAGAAGTGAATCAAGAAAACAGAAAAATAACACAAGGAAGGATTAAATTGTTTTAAATATGTATAATATTTCATGTATGTATATAATCATGCAACCTACTCTTGCTGCCTCCCTGCGCGAACAGGGTAGACAGCAAGTGAGGAAATCTATTAAACGCCAGACGGCAAAAAAAAAAAAAAAAAAAAAAAATAAAATGGAAAGATATTATGATGGTGATCAAGACAAGTTATTTTCTGAAGCTCATGTTGTTAGTCCTCATCGGCGTGATATGGGGAAGGGTGCTAAGCGTCAAGTGCGAAACAGTGTTCAAGAAGACAACGTTCTTTGCGAAATATGCTACTTTTCTAAGGCATTGGATGATATGAAGGGTCTTGAATGTGGTCATCGTTTTTGTGCCAATTGTTGGGCTGAGTACCTCACATCAAAAATAATGGATGAAGGTATGGGACAAACCATTTCTTGTGCTGCCTATGGCTGTGATGTTCTTGTAGATGACAAAAGTGTAATGGAGTTACTAAAAGACCAAAAAGTTAAATTGAAATATCAACAAATAATAACAAATGGTTTTGTAGAGTGTAACAGGTTATTGAGATGGTGTCCAGCCCCGGACTGCGGACATGCAGTCAAGGTGGCCCACCATGATGCAAAGCCGGTGACCTGTGTATGTAGCCATACCTTTTGTTTTTCGTGCGGAGAAAACTGGCATGATCCTGTGCGTTGCAAGTGGCTAAAACAATGGATTAAAAATGTGATGATGATAGTGAAACATCAAATTGGATAGCGGCAAACACAAAGGAATGCCCACAATGTCACGTTACGATGGAGAAAGATGGCGGCTGTAACCACATGGTCTGTAAAAATCAGAACTGTAGGGCAGATTTCTGCTGGGTTTGTCTTGGACCCTGGGAACCCCATGGATCCTCTTGGTATAACTGTAATAGGTACAATGAAGATGATGCCAAGAAAGCTAGGGATAGTCAAGAAATATCCCGAGCAGCAGTGTAATTATGCTTGATTAACCACAGCCCATATGCAACTGGGCATTTGCAGTTTGTTGACATTTATTTATCTTTATTTTGTAACTGACTTTCTGCTGGTTTAAATCACAGTCATTATATATGTGTATACAAATATTGAACCTTCTAGTTTTGAAATTATATTAACTTAGCTTTTCAGATTAAAAATAAGTATTGAGATCATATTCATTTTTTTAGCTCTCCAGAATTTTAAGTAAAGTTGTTTTTTAATGCAAGGTATATTTTATAAATCTGACATCTATTTATTGTCCAATGCAAGATACTCAGAATCAATTGAACGAAGCAAACACAGTTCTCATACTGTCACACAAAACAGGCTTTAATTTGCTGCAAGTTCTTTTTAAGTAATTCGAGTTTTTAAAATTATTCTTCTAGTATATGTTTATAATAAAGTTGGAATTTAAAATATTTCACTCAAATACTAAATAGTGCTATAAAATAATTTTTATTTTGACCTCACAAACTGCTGGAAATTTGTTGTAGCATTTTAAAAACCAATTTTCTCTACGATTGTACAAGCTACGAATGAGAGCATACCCATCTATTTTAGTTGATAAAGTTTTTTCACTAGCTTTCTAATTGTCCAAAATCAAATATTTTGAACTTCAAACTGAAATGTGTACACACGTTTCTAAACTATTTGACTCACTAATACCTTTTTTTAAAAATTCAAGTGTCAAGTTTAAGTTAATAAAAAATTGTTTATAGAATATTTTCACCCATTATGTATACTTAAACTTACTGAATAAAATTAATGAAAGCACATAAAAAAAAAAAAAAAAATAATAATATTTTATTTAAAAAAAAATTATAATATTTTATTTTATTTTGACAAACACAAATAAACATAACGTGTTATGACCATAAAAATATAATCAAAATAGAATGTTCCTGCATCAAGTGATAAAGCACACAGAAATTGTGATGCATAAGAGCTAAATTTGCACCGCGGCATGTCTTTTAACAAGGACGTGACGAATCTTCATAGGGTGGAAATGTACAATAAAGTTGGCGACGACAATCAATATTACTACTACGTCACACCAGAAAACTTAAAACCGATATGATACAGAGATGACAACAAATTAGTCTGTGTATCTTGTTCTTTTTTAATTAGCTTTGTTTTTGTTTGTTACGAAGTCGCGGTTATTTCTAAATATTTTGTAACAAAACCTGCAGATCTCAATTATTTATGCTGAGGGTTACTGGATTTGGTTGATGCCAATTTCGTTAGATGATGTCAGTTTCACTGTAGTGACTGCTTTTAATTTTTACCGTATCTGGTTGCGTGATTAAGGGAGCCGCTTCATCTGGGGTTTATGTGTTTGCTATGGTTATTTGAACCGTTGTGTCTCTGCCGTCAATGAGGTTTGACTTCAGTGCACTTCATGTTCCTGTTGTAGTTGTCTTTTCTGAGAGAAATTTCTCTTGAGTGGGTGGTACGTTCAAAGTTGTTATTGATGTCGATATGCCATGTTTTGTATAGATGGGTGTGTTAGATGGTGGCGGTTCGTCCAGTGTAAAATGGAAGAGCAGGTCTTACGCGATTTTCTTCTCCAGGCTTTTGCGATTAGAATATTTACTGCTTTATTTTAATAGTTCAATGTAACGTGGGATGGTTGCTGGCTTGTCAGTGTAGATAGTGAAGCTGCGTTG